GAAAATATCGAATTTAAATCAAAAACGTGTTTTGTACCAACATTTCCTTGCAATTTCTTAGTAAATGCTCAGATTCAAAAATTTCTATAAATACCACCATTTGTGATTCATTTGAAACACACCAAAAAAAAAATCAGCTATAAGCTTGATCAAACAAAAAAAAAATGTCCGGTCCGGGAAATATTTTCGAATTGCGGAAGGGGATGTATTCACACAGAGATAATAACGGGAGGGTGACGAAAGAATTTCTCGAAGGGTTGGAGACATCTATGCATCAAGCAGATTCTACACCATTCACGCAGGAAAGTGGTAAGATGTTCTGTCCTTGTCGGAAATGTTGCAATACAAAATTAGGCCCTCATGAAAATGTTTGGAATCATTTAACAAATAGAGGTTTCATGCCATATTATTTTTTTCTATCAACATGGAGAAGACGATGCTAGTTGTAGGAATGAAGGTAGCAGTAGTAATAACAATTTTCAGGTTGAACCGGTTGATCATTTGCGTAATGAAAATAGCTATCATCACCAAGAGGAACAAATGGTAGATTGTGGTAGAGGTCATGATATGGTAGGTGATGCATTTGTAACTCATGATGATGATGAAGTTGAAGAACCTAACTTAGATGCAAAAAAGTTTTATGAAATGTTAGAAGCTGCGAATGAGCCAATTTACAGTGGTTGTAGAGAAGGTCTGTCTAAATTGTCGTTGGCTGCTAGAATGATGAGTATTAAAACCGATCTCAATCTACCTGAAAATTGTATGGATGCATGGGCTGGCTTGTTAAAAGAGTATTTTCCAGAAGACAATGTGTCTGCTGAATCTTATTATCAGATTCAGAAATTGGTATATAGTCTTGGGTTGCCCTCGGAGATGATAGACGTTTGCATCGACAACTGCATGATTTACTGGGGAGATGATGAGAAGTTAGAAGAATGTCGATTTTGTAAGAAGCCACGATTCAAACCGCAAGGTCGAGGGCGTANAGTTAGAAGAATGTCGATTTTGTAAGAAGCCACGATTCAAACCGCAAGGTCGAGGGCGTAATAGGGTACCGTACCAAAGGATGTGGTACCTACCAATCACAGACAGATTGAAAAGATTGTACCAATCTGAGGAGACTGCTGGAGGGATGAGATGGCACGCCGAGCATACTCAGACGGATGGAGAGATGACTCATCCATCGGATGCAAGAGCCTGGAAACATTTTAACAATGTACATCCACATTTCGCTAGCAATAGCCGGAATGTGTATCTTGGATTATGCACTGATGGATTTAGTCCATTTGGAATGTCTGAGAGACAATATTCATTGTGGCCGGTCTTTCTTATACCGTATAACCTGCCACCGGAGATGTGCATGCGACAAGAGTTTCTATTCATGACCATATTAATACCTGGTCCAAAACATCCAAAAAGATCTCTCGATGTTTTTCTACAACCACTGATAAAAGAGTTGAAAGATTTGTGGTCAACAGGGGTGAGGACATATGATTGTTCAACGAAAAGAAACTTTATGATGCGAGCGATGCTTTTGTGGACCATAAGTGACTTTCCTGCATATGTGATGTTGTCTGGGTGGACTGCACATGTGAGATTAGCTTGTCCATATTGTAATGAAATGACAGATGCGTTTCAGTTGAAGCATGGTAGGAAGACTAGTTGGTTCGATTGTCACCGACGATTTCTTCCCGTTTACCACCCATACCGAAGAAACAATAAATTGTTCAGGCACAAAAGGGTTGTCAGAGACACTCATCCTCCATATTTAACTGGAGAACAAATCGAAGAACAAATCAATTACTACGGTGCTCTAGAAACAGCTCCTCGTGGTGGGAATTGGCATGTTCCTAGTAATATGTCTGATTCTTATGGTGTTCAGCACAATTGGCATAAAAAAAGTATATTTTGGGAATTGCCATATTGGAAAGATCTTCTATTGCGCCACAACCTCGATGAGATGCATATAGAGAAGAACTTTTTTGACAACATTGTGAACACTATATTGAATGTCCCAAGGAAGACGAAAGACAACGTAAAATCATGGTTGGACTTACCCGATATCTGCTCAAGGAGTGAGCTACATATAAAAATCAATGGGCAAGTTCCAGTTCCAATATTCAGACTGTCATCAGAAAAAAAGTATGCGTTGTTCAACTGGGTCAGAAGTGAAGTTCCCTGATGGGTATGTTTCAAATCTGTCAAGATGTGTTGAGAAAGGGCAAAAGTTCTCCGTGATGAAGAGCCATGATTGTCATGTCTTTATGCAGCGACTACTTCCCTTTGCGTTTGCGGAGCTACTACCGGCAAAAGTACATGAAGCACTTTCAGGTAATTAATTAATATAATACGATGATATGATTAATTTATTTCTTTATATATATATACTAATCTGGATAATTTTGTTTTTGTAATATATAAGGAATTGGAGCATTTTTTAGGGATCTGAGCACCCGCACTCTTAAAGTGGAAATTGTCCAACAACTTCATGAAAAAATCCCCGTCTTAATCTGCAACTTGGAGAAAATATTTCCGCCTACTTTTTCCGACGTCATGGAACACCTAGTTGTCCACCTCCCATATGAGACATTACTTCATGGACCTGTGCATTATGGATGGATGTATCAATATGAAAGGGCCATGAAAACTTTGAAAGGAAAAGCAAAAAACCTAGCAAGAGTTGAAAGTTCTATTGTTGCGGGAATTTTGACGGAAGAAACATCACATTTCACATCGTACTACTTTTCACCGAAAGTACGTACAAGGAAACGAGCTCCAAGAAGATATGATGATGGTGATGTCGTGCCGACATATATGGAAGACGATGTTCCAGACATCTTTTGTCAAATTGGGCGATTGGGTGGGAAATTGAAAGAGGTTTGGTGGTCGAGTGATGAAGACGTCCATAGTGCACACCTTTATATTCTTCTTAATTGCGAGCATCCATTGATTGCTTATTTTGAAAGGTAAATATATAAACATACACACTTATATATANTTTTGTCAAATTGGGCGATTGGGTGGGAAATTGAAAGAGGTTTGGTGGTCGAGTGATGAAGACGTCCATAGTGCACACCTTTATATTCTTCTTAATTGCGAGCATCCATTGATTGCTTATTTTGAAAGGTAAATATATAAACATACACACTTATATATATATATATATATATATTTCAATATTAAATATATAACATAACATATATGATTTTACAGCCAATACGTGACTCAAGTCGAGGAAGTAATACCTGGTATATCGACAACTGAGTTAGACAAAAGGAAAGATCAACACTTTATCAAGTGGTTGAGGAAACATGTATTTGTTATTACTTAAATTTTATGCATACATTACCACAAAGTAAGTCTAATGTCTAGTTATATTACTTTTTGTTGCAGGTCGATTATGACGATCCTGAGTATCCCGCATGGTTTCGCGAATTACTTCAAGGTCCAGTTGCAAAGGTCACTACATCATCGATGTATTACACCCGAGGCTATACTTTTGATACCTATAACTATGGTAGACACCGGGCGACAAGTAATTATGGAATATGTGTGAAAGGCGAAACAGATTTCTACGGGATCTTGCAGGAGATTTATGAAGTTCAATTCTCAGGTATGAGTTTGAAATGCATTATCTTCAAGTTTGAGTGGTACGACCCCGTCGTCAACAGAGGTGTTCGGATTAACAAGAACGGTGTAGTTGATGTCAATGGTGGACGAAGGTACAACAAATTTTTTTTTTTTAATATCCAGGTTTCGAGTATTAATTAATTTTTACATTGATCTTTATTTTTGTAGGTACAACAAGTTCGAGCCTTTCATATTAGCTTCCCAAGCAGATCAAGTTTGCTACATTCCATACCCTCGGATTATTACCTCGGGAATAAACTGGTTAGATGTTATCAAAGTTACACCTCGAGGACGAATAATCGCTGGAGAAGAACCACCATTACAAGAAGAAAAGACCAATGAGATCGAGGAACCTTAAGGAGAAATTGATGACATCCTACTCATTGATCCGCATAATCGTGAATACAAAGATGTTCCTGATCACTCAACGGACGAAGGTGTAGATGACGAGTTTTTAGAAAATGATGATGTTTTAACAGATTACGAGAATGTATCCGAATGAATTATATATGTTTATAAGTTTTTTTAATCACAAAAATGAATTTGGATTGTATATGTTTTAAGTTTGTTTAATCACAAAATAAATTTACATTTGGGGTTTACGTGTAGAAGAGGTTAGGAGTTGGGTTGTAAAAGAGGTTATAAGTTAAGGAAGTTGTGGTTTGGGGTTTGAGGCGGTCTCAACTCCGGTAAAACTTTGCAAATTCCAATTTCTTTGTCATTTTCCCTTCCAAAAATATTATTATCAGATGCCCTACAATTAGACAATGCCACATGGACACTTTAGACATGGTGAGAGAGAACAACAACATGGGAGGCACATGATTTTGTGTTTATTATATATTATGCAGTTTTAACCTAAAATAAAATGAAAAACAGATCAGTGGCAAAGAGGAAAAACAGATCAGTGGCAATGAGAGGTTCGCGGATCCAAATATAGCTTTTAAAGGCCTCTTTCTTGGTTACAATAATACACATAAAAATAAAATTAAATGTAATAAAATATGTGGACCCTTTTCCAAATTAAAAAGAAAAGAAAAGAGAAAGAGGGTGAAGAAAGTGGGTTTAACAATTATTTGCTGCAAAGTTAGAAGAGGCTCTCAGCTTTATTAACTTCTCTTTGCTTTCATTCTCTCTATCGTTCATCATCACCCTCGTAATCCTCATCTCTCCTTGCTAACACCTAGTTGCACTTAAAAAATGCTGCTACTTTTTCTTCCTCCATCATCAATGGTTTTATGAAGAACGGGTGAGCTCCCTTTTGCAAAAAAAAAAAAAAGAGAGCCGGTGAACTTAAAGTGAGAGAGAAAGAGAGTGCGTAGATAGAATACACGAGTGGTGGGTTCACAACAAGATTGGTGTATTTAGAGATGGAGCAAGGAGGTGGTGGTGGTAGTGGTAATGAAGTGGTGGAGGAAGCTTCACCGATCAGCTCAAGACCTCCGGCAAATATGGAAGAGCTTATGAGATTCTCAGCAACGGCGGATGAGGGTGGAGGTCTGGGAGGAGGAAGCTCGGGAAATAGATGGCCAAGAGAGAAAACACTCGCACTTCTTAGGATCCGATCTGAAATGGACTCTACTTTCCGTGACGCCACTCTCAAAGCTCCTCTTTGGGAACATGTTTCCAGGTCTCTCTCTCTCTCTCTCTCTCTCTCTCTCTCTCTCTCTCTCACATCTATTACACTTCTTGATTCTCAAATTCTCATCAATGGTGTTTTTTCAGATAGCTAGAGATCCATTTGCATGTGTTTCCAACGCTTACTTTTGTTTTAATTTATTTTCTTTTATCATATAAATATACTATATTCAAGATCAAGCATCTTCACCACCCCCAAGAACATTAAATAACTGTTTGTTTATACAGAAGTTGCTCATTAGTTTCTGGGGGCGCTTTCGATTTTGTAAATCCCAAGATTTTTCTTTTTGTTCTATAATAATTCCATCAAACAGTACCATGAGATTAATAATAATAAAAAACAGACCGAAACTGAATTTTTATGTTTGAATGACACACTTACAGGAAGCTGTTGGAGCTGGGTTACAAACGCAGTGCAAAGAAATGCAAAGAGAAGTTCGAAAACGTTCAGAAATATCACAAGCGCACTAAAGAAACGCGCGGTGGTCGCCATGAAGGTAAAACATACAAGTTCTTCTCTCAGCTCGAAGCTCTCAACATTACTCCTCCCTCTTCTCTCGACGTCGCTCCTCTCTCCGTCGCCAATACCGTTCAGCAGCCTTCTTCTTCTTCGCAATTCCCCGTTTTCTCTCTAGCGCAAATGCCACCTCCCCAAACGCTTCCACCGAATACAGTCTCCTTTACTCCCAATCCATTGCCTCCTCCTCCTTCAGTTGGTCCTACATTTCCCGGAGTTACCTTCTCTTCTCACAGCTCATCGACGGCTTCAGGAATGGGGTCTGATGATGAAGATAATACGGACGTAGATCAGGCGGGTCCCAGTAGCCACAAACGCAAACGTGAAAACCGTGGCAGTGGAGGCGGCAAGATGATGGAACTATTCGAAGGTTTTGTGAGACAAGTGATGCAGAAACAAGCGGCGATGCAAAGGAGCTTTCTTGAGGCGCTTGAGAAGAAAGAACAAGAACGTATTGCTGGAGATGAAGCTTGGAAACGCCAAGAAATGTCTAGGTTAACTCGAGAGCGCGAGATCATGTCTCAAGAACGAGCGGCTTCTGCTTCTCGTGACGCTGCAATCATCTCACTGATCCAGAAAATTACTGGCCATACCATTCAGTTACCACCTTCTTTATCATCACAACCGTCTCTGTCCCCGCATCAACCACCACCTGCCGCTAAATATCCTTCATCACAAGCTGTAGAACCACCTCATTTACAACCAATAATGGCGATTCCGCAACAACAAGTTCTTCCTACTCCACCTCCACCTCCTCCCATCAACCACAACAACAAGAGATGATCATGAGCTCGGATCAATCGTTACCATCATCATCGTGATGGCCAAAGGAGGAGATTCTTGCTCTTATAAACCTGAGAAGCGGAATGGAACCAAGGTACCAAGATAATGTCCCAAAAGGACTTTTGTGGGAAGAGATTCAACTTCAATGAAGAGAATGGGATACCACATAAATAAACGCGAAGAGATGCAAAGAGAAATGGGAAAACATAAATAAATACTACAAGAAAGTTAAAGAAAGCAACAAGAAACGTCCTCAAGATGCTAAGACCTGTCCTTATTATCACCGCCTTGATCTTTTTTACAGCAGCAAGGTTCTTGGTAGGGGTGCCGGTTCTAGCACTTCTGGTCTACCTCAAGACCAAATACCAACAGTACAAAAGCAGAGTCCGGTCTCTGCGGTGAAGCCGCTACAAGAAGGGGATGTTAATGTCCATCAAACTGACGGCTCAGCATCAAGTGAGGAAGAAGAACCAAGAGAGGAAACTCCACAAGGAGCGGAGAAGGTACAAAGTTTGCTTTTCATTTTCAAAATGTGAATTGGTTTTGTTTCTTAATAACAAAATCTTCATTTGTTGGAATTGAAGCCAGAAGACCTTCTGATGAGAGAGCTGATGCAACAACAACAACACCAAGAAGATTCAATGATAGGTGAGTATGAACAGATTGAGGCATCTCACAATTATAATAACATGGAAGTAGAGGAAGAAGAGATAGATGAAGAACTAGACGAGGATGAGAAATCAGCGGCTTATGAGATTGCATTTCAGACGAGCTCTGAAAAAAGAGGAGGTAATGGTCATACAGAGTCACCTTTCTTGACAATGGTTCAGTAAATAAGAATCACTGTTTTCGAATCCTCTTCGTACCAAGAAAATGTACTTTGTGTGCATAGTAAACAACACCAAAAAACCTTAATCTCACACACACACACACACACACACACACACACACACACACACACACACACACATCTGACACAAGAAACTGAAAATCAAGGTCTCATCAATCTTAATTTTTCAGTGAATACAATTCTTTCTTACACATTATTACCCTTATTCCTTTTCTTTCTCAGTCTCTTGTTTGTTTCCTTTTCATTGTATTCCTCTTCAACACAACCCCCACCCACATGAACCCAAACTCTAGATAAATGTTTTTTAATTTATTTGGAGTTGTAATTTATCAATAAGTCTCACACTTCTACTTCTTATAACATTTCTTGATTGGTTAATTGGGCATAAAAGAGTCTTTTTCTCCCTGAAGTAAACTTAAGAAACAAGAGATACTGTAAATCTTTGTTTCATTATGAAGTTTTCAAGACCTTTACTTTTTTTTCCTGCTGCTTCTGCTTTTGCTTCGAACTGATGGATGAGAAATGTTGGCTTTTTCATATTTACTTTGCTTCTGTTTTTTTTTTTTTTTACTGAGAAGAGACTCACCCAAAACCATCGTTTGAGGAAAGGCGAAGAGAAGAAGTAATCTGTGTTTATGTTTTATCCTTTTTTTTGCGGCGCCTACAAAGACGCAACTCGATAAGCCATTATTCATTTGTGTCACGATAAGTTAAATAGAGTCACTCAAAGTTTTGTTCGTTTGTTTCAACTTTCTTCTTTTAATATATACTCAAAAGCATGTGCAGCTTTTGTACTTAAAACGACAAGACTCGTCCCACTCTCATTGTTCATCTCCTGTCTTGTTTTTTGCTTTTTAATACATCAAAAACCGTTTTAGAATATATTACATTTTTTGCTACAAAAAAGAATATATTACATTTACTGCAAAACTACTAGACTGTAGAAAAAAACACAAATCACAGAAAAATACATAAGCTGGTTATTTGAACGGAGAGAATATACAAACATGGAAAGATAAGAAAAGATAAATAAAAAAAAAAAAAGAAGAAAGAAAAGATTCTGTATGTTTTTATTAAGATAACAATAATGGAGGAAATGGGTACAGGTAAGAAAGATTATGTACCACTTTCATTGCCAACTTGCTTTCACCTCTTTGTGTCTAACACAGCTGCCTCAACGTGCAATCATTTATAAGTAAATGTCTATATGTATCTAATTATACATATACCAGAATGTAATGCTTGTGTATAGAATACACAACGAGCCTGTCCTACCCATGTGCATTTGTTGTTATTTTAAATTTAATTAGACTTTATATTAAACTTTTGTATTACGTATATTTAGGGTAATACGAAAACAACTCAACATGTAATCAACGATATCACATGTTGATCCCACTATAAACTCAGAAGTTTAAGATCTGTTTTTAAGTCATGCATTCGATTAGGCTTTGCTTCTATTTTCTTGTCTACAAACCGTAACGTTCTGTATGTTTTGTATATTTTTTTCTTCTGATGAAGAGTTTAATTATATCTCCAACCTGTCGTGATCGGTAACTTAAGGGGTGTACTTATTTGAGCATCAAAAAGAGTTTTTTTTTTTTTTTTGTTTTTAGTATCCCGTAATTGTTGAAGGACTCTAATTAACTTTTAAAGAATTTACAGCTCACGAACAGACTCTTTCAAAAAATATATAACAGAGAAAAATTTATACCGAAGAAAGATGGAAAAGATTTCCATCCAAAAACACTCTTCATTTAAAAAACGTTTTTAGATGATATTTTTTTTCTCAGAATTACGAGTTTCAATTGCTTTGACGGAAAGAAACCTAAAATAGCCACTTTAACATACTTTGTGATGATGAAATATATAAAAATCATTAGTATATAAATCATGTTTGGGATTAAGGTATCTATTCAAGTTTGGTTTGAGTATTTAAGATTATGAGTTTTTACGAACAACAACGAGTATATACCCCATTTTGGTAGTTCTAAATTTTTGATTGGTTTCAGTTTCAGATATTATGGATTAAAGTCATATTTGGATGTTCATTCTTTCAATTATTTTTGGAACGATTCAGATTTTATCTGAAAACTCATTTAAGTATTCAAAATTACTAAAATCTATAAAAATTTACTATGCAACATACAAAGTTGAATTATTCAAATGTGTGCCGAATAATAAAATATTGTTAAGAAATGGTGGTTGGGACATATCCGGGAAATGGACCAGACCACATCAGTCTTACTTCAGTCCAAGACTAGGCGGCCAAGACTTGTCATTATCCTCCCTTGTATTTATCCATATGTTGTAGTTATCCTAATCATTATAGGATTAGGATAATCATCCCCTTTATTGTTGTAATCCTTATCTTCTAAGGAATATGCTTTATTCTCTTGTATATATATGTATGTGCACGAGATTAATAATACACACAGAGTTACAACAACCTTCTTTATTCCACAATACGTTATCAGCACGAGCTCTACCCTAACACAAAAATCCGTAGCTCTCTCTCTCTCTTGCCGGCTGCAGAAAACCCTAATCCCTGCAGCAACTTCAAAGCGACGTATCTCCCAAACCCTGTGTACCCAAATGACTAGTCACATATAAAATTCAAGCTCTCGACGAGAAGAAGCTACCAGTTCAAAGAGTGTCTCAATCCGATACCAGATGAGTTCTCTAGCTCAGAAACAAGACGGCGGATGAATTTCCTTTTCTCCTACCCGAGAAACCCTAATACCGGCTCAACTTCAAATTGACGTATCTCTCAAACTACAAAGATCTAGAAGCCGATCTACATATCAATCTGAATCTCTTGAAGATAGGAATCCAGCAGTTCAAACAGCGCGTCAATCCGACACCGGAATCAACCGCAATCACCAAAACAATACGGCGGGCTAAATCTCCTCTTTTCCAATCCGGAAACCCTAGAAATCATCCCTCTTACTAAGACGCCTTACACCTTACTTCTTCCTCAATTTGTTACATTATTTTGAAGAAGAAACATCTTGCTAACTCTTACTTTGCAGGTGTAAAGCTCTAGCTAAAGATTGAAAAGCCATCCGACCTCTCTCTCTCATAAGATCAAAACCGGTTTGCCCTAAAGGAGGTCCATTCAGATCATTGGTGATTTTGTGGTACAATCCTTAAACTCTAGAACATAGATCTCGTCCCCACATTAATCTATGGTAAATCTGGTGTTTAAGAACTCATACTTGATCCCCTTAAAACCTAACTTATGCACATGACACAAACTTGTACTCATGAGCAAAAGTTAACCTAAAACCCTAATTGTTGAACTCGAAATCTTTGCTTGCTTTGATCCGTTTGCTTGCTTATTTTTATCAAGTTATTTATGTTGAATGCTTAAGGAATTCGCCTTGATAGATTTCGTGTTTTGAGTTCAAGTAAATTGATGTTTTAAAACTCTTGATAGCTATTGCATAAAACCGGATTGTTTGCTTCTCTCTCTAGATCCGTTTTTGATAGATCTTGTTTGATTGATTAAAATTCGTTATTGCTGCTATAGATCTGATAAACTCTTGTTAATATTTGATCACCCTGGGACTATGTGTTTGTTTGATCAATTGAATGATTAGATCTGAGGTTTAGAAATCGTTTTGATATAAACCCTAATTTGCGCATGAACCTAAAATCCGATTTGCATAAACCCTAGCTGTGACTTTGATATTTTCATTGTTTATATTTGTTTTAGCATGTTAATATGGACTATCTGATTGCTTATGACATTGAGGTCGAATGCTAGATTCATAGGTTGCTTGAATCGTATTGATAGTTTGCTAAAACCCTAATTGTTTTTCTATGCGCATGAACATTCATCTAAGTTGTTTAAATTTTTAGATCTGTTCCTGGTAAATTGCACGACCTAGGCTTGTTCTAGAATGATAATATGATCTATCTAGTTGTGTTTAAAATTAAAAACGAGTGCTAGGTTCATTGGTTTCATGGTTGAATGAATTGTTTTGTTAAAACCCTATGCGCATGAACCCTAATTCCGAGTTGCTTAGATCCCTAATCTAAAAATTGAAATCTTTATGATCTTTGCTTGATATTACATGATCTCATGAACCTATTGACTGCTTGTAATGTGTACTTGCTAGGATTAATTTGGTTGCATGATTCGGAATTTTAAATTTTTGAAAACCCTAGTTTGGTCATAATCCTATTAGGTTTAGGAATTGCACTAAAATCCTATTTGACTTAGGACTTGCACTAAAATAAATCCGACCACCTTTTAACATGTCTTGCTAGTTTAAATATGGAAACTGAGATACCTGAGACTATGTGGTTGTTTTGCTAAATTTATTTTAGAACCAAACTTGATGAATTGTTTGAAAACCCTAGTTTTGAAATTCCTAATCCAACTAGGTTTAGGTTTTGTTCTAAAAATAAAATCGACCTAACCTGATAAGTCTTGATAGTTTATAAGGTAAAAATGATCATCCTGAGACTATGTGTTGATTGAATGAATTTTTTTTAGAAGCAAAACCTTTGCATTCAAATTTTTCAAACTTTGAAACCCTAAAAAACCTATTTTAAAAGGATCCGATTTCTTGGAAGCTTGCAATGCTTGGTTTTTATTTATTTTTTCCATGATTGCATGATCACTCTGTTATTATTGTGAATAAGAAATCTGATGTTAGGTTATGAATGGAAAATTTTGGGTTTCCCCTTTGAATAAAATCGACCAAAATATATTAAAACCCTAAATTGGTTGTTTGTTTTGATAATTGTTTAACCTAATTCTAAATTATGGTTTCACTTGAGATTTTGGTTGATTGATCACATGTTCTAACTAGAGCCAATATGCTAAGGATGACTGCATTATTTTGTGATCTGATTTTATGGTCTAATAGAATTCTATGGTTACTAGAATTGCTAAAAATCATTTGGTTGATTGATATTGCAATCATGGTGGATTGCTTGACCATACTGGTTACATATATCTCGACCACTAAT